TGTGACGTCTATCTCAAAACGCACAAGAGAATTGTTTGTTGATAAACTTTGTTTTATCATCATTTACTACAACACCCGTTTGCTATACTTGGTATTCTAAGACGGAAAATGCGACAGTGTTGAAGTGAATATGCAGGCCCACAATTTCAATATTATTGGAAGCAGTATCACAATTTTGTTATATATTGTGCCAGTACTTTTGAAATTCAGAAAAAAATTATAGAGATATTAGCTGCCAAAATGTATAAATAAATACATAAGTTACTTAATATCACAAAAACAGTTCTTAACTTTGAATGACCTATGTTTAAAAAAAAAGATTTGTTCGGGTTTTTTTCTTACATGTCCTATAAGCATAAAATTATTTTTTACAATAATGGTTTTTCGTTGGGAAAGCCCTTGTACATACCTATATGAAATAAATGAAAACTAACTATTTAAAATTAATATAAAAAATTTAAGGTGCTTTCAAATAACATATACTCCTTTTAAATAATATATACTTTATTTATTATGCTCAAGCTATTTGAGCCAGTGCACTTGAGTACTTTTACTCTATTTTAATTGCGGGGTATCTACGAAACCCCGCTTTACGCCTTGACTGATTTATTGTTTATCACTTCATCAGACTAAGCAATAATTGACCTCAGATCTGTATACCTCCCCGAGGAGCCTGTAACCATTCTGAGATTCTGTAACGAGGTGTTGGTAAGTCTGTCGGTTTCCGCAAATAATTTCAGGGCTCTATCCTTTATGTATTTTTTGAACGGATCAATCTTGCGGTCCCTGAGGATGTCATTCGTCCTAATGTACCATGGTACCTTGAAAAGTCTTCTCAGAGCCTGGCTTTGTGCAATTTCTAGCTGGCGAATATTAGTGTTTGAAGCTTTGCTAAACGCTACACATCCATATAGAAGTGACGAACAAATTATTTGGATATATATCAGCGTCCTGTTCTCAGCATTGAGATTTTCATTTCTGAATAGCGGTTGAAGGTGATGAATAATTTTGGCACAGCTAATTCTTTTCAGTTGAACATGTTTAAGCCATGTGAATCGTTTGTCCAACGTGTTGCCGAGATATTTAACGCTATTCTCCCAGTTTATTAACATATCTCGCACTCTAACTTTCGACGGAGAGTGATTATAATTTCTTGATCGAAGAAATAAAAATATTATGGTATAAAAAAAATTTTATTACAAAAATATTTAGTCAAAATTACTTAACTACTTAATGACACTCGTACTTTGAATTAAATATAGTTATTTTAAATATTTCTATAAATTAATTTATAGTTTTTTTAAATGTTATATATCAGTCATGTTGAAATGATTGATTCATGGGAATAACTTGAATTGAGGTCAGAAAACATGATTTTAATTCATTTAAAACTCTATAAGACCCTTAACAGTTACATTATTTTTATTTATTTCAAATTTGTCAAAATTGATACATATTTTCCAAATAAAATATAATATTTCCGTTAAATAAAAAACTCATAAAAAATTGTAGCAATATTTTAGAGTCATTATTATTTATTGCTCTTCGAATGAAGGCATTGAAAACTGGATCAACTTCAGTTTCAACGATAATGGATATTAAGCCAAATTTGGGTTACTAGCGTTTACTTGAACTAAAAGATCGTGTTAAAGATTTTTATCTTTAAACTAAACAAATTTAGCTAAAACATTTAAAAATATAGCAAACATGAATCCGGAAAGCATTAGTACTTGTAGTTTAAACAATAAAACTGAAATTAGTTTAGTATATTAATAATTTACTGGTAGAAGAAAAATTAGTTATATGATAGAACTGAAGGATTATTTAATAAAATTTAAGATCAAAACTTAAATGAACATGATCGTGATTGATTGATTCACTCTGAATTTTGCCACGATCTTTGATTTAACTTTAGTGATTTGTGTTATATTTGATGAGAAACAATTTCAAATAAAGTAGAGTTTTTATACTAGTAAGTACTGGAATAAAGTAGTATTCGCTCAATATATACCTGAATAAGTTAAAAGCATTATCCATTGTTTATATATACCGTTTAATTTATTTCAGGTACGTGAGTCCATTTAGTTGCTTGAAATAATATTATATGATTTTATTCATACAATATATTTTGGTTAAACAAAATATATTCCCAATGCAAATATATTAATCGTAATTATAAATAAATAAAATTTTAAGTATGTCAACTGATATGAAACATTTTAGATAACAGTTTTCAGTTCATACTGGGATTTCCACTTAACCGATTTTCATGCAACGTTTTCATAAATTTTTGTTAAACGTGCGTGAAGCCGTTCAATTAAGTATCTTGACCTGTTCGTTCTTTCACTGATTATTTATGGATTCGCATTTACGTATAAAAATATGAGCTGAGAAGCCTGCAACTAAAATAATTGCATTTGTGCATTTGTGCATTTTTATTCAATATTAATTTATTGCATGCGTGCAGTGTCTTCTGACATGCCAGGATCAGGCACACTGCGGTAATTACACGCACTCATGTTGTTTATATTTGGCGCCAGGATACACGCTGGCTCCGATAAGTAAAAGTTTCAATTAAGTAAATTAAACCACGGGTAACAAGAAATTAACTTAAAATTTTCTTTTGATGTTTAATGTGTTAACAATGCGGAATTTGCAAATGCATGTTGTTCAATGAAAGTTTGATGAAGTGCCTCGAGAATTAGTAAATTTATTTAAAATTATTTATTTGATCATTTTCTTTAGATTCTAAATACGTGCAAAGAAAGTTTGAAGAATAAATCTAAAGATTCTTAAATGAGGAGTGGTTCTGGATAATATATTAAATTAAATGTTGCCCACTTCAATGGAAATCCAATGTACATAATTGATTGCAATGCATACATGTAGAATGCGGTCCAACTAGGATTTGACATATTGACACAGTTGAAGTCAATAGATCTGTTTGTTTGTAAAATGGCATGTATTTAAACAATCGTACTGTTTAAATAGAGGTTTAGGACTCAACAATAGTATGAATCTCAGAAAAAAAGGAATCAAAAAGCAATAATTATCTTCTGCTAAGACGTTATTTAGATCTAATCGTTTAATCTGAAAATAAAAAGTAGTTACTTTCTTAATGCAAATTTTAGTTATATAAATAATAATATATTATATAAAATATATTATATAAAATATATTATATAATGCTATACCTAAATATTAACGCCTTGCTCGACGTCACTGATTTCGAGCAGTCGCTTATTATGGGCATAGGCTGCCTTTAAGTCGCTTTCACCTATCGCGTCGCAACGCTTAGTTCTTTATATCTTTATATTATTCCGGCAGAACTTTTTAATAAATATCGCAAAGAATATTACGTTTTTGAAGTTTATTATACTGATTCGTTCGTTAAAAATTTTATTTATGAAAAAGTGAGCATCGTACATAGATGGCATGAACGCAGAACTATAAAAATGCGGTGGTGATATACTATACTACTTAATATAAAATATAATGCGCAAAGTGTGTACTTTAATGTAGACATACATTACAAAAATGTTCAATAATAGTTCTCACTATTCTTAAAAATTGCTGGATTGAGCAATATCTTTCTACTTAATAATTAGAAAATGAGAAAACATCGATTGCTGATACACTGGAATTTAATAACAAGTTTTGATTTAAAAAAAATATAATTGTTATTTATTATTATTAAAGTTCGGAAACATTACATTCTATCAATAAAGTATGCGGAATTGACCCAAAGTATTGGCCTCTTTAATGCATTAATTTTCAAAGCCCTGACGCAAAAGATTTTTTCGACATGAATTTTAAATTTAGTTTTAATTTTTCATTTTTAATTTAATAATTTAATTTTATGCAACCATTAAAACTCGGAATGTCAGATGATTTTATATCACAATGGGGTTTGCTGTTTTTTTTTTTTTTGTAACTGGATTGATTGTTTCGAGTTTCCTGTGGTCCATATATTCACTAACGTTACTAAAAGAATATTTAAATAATGTAAAAAGTATTTTACAAAGAAACTACTTGACTTAGTCACCAAGTGCGTAAATTTAACATCTCTTTTTATTAAATTAAGTTTCTTGGTACAATCATTCTTCACATATCCATAATTATATGTTACAGCATAGTTTCTGGTTTCCTTTAAGTAAAACAAATCTTATTATATAACATTATATAATTACTCATTTCAAAGAATTATGAAAAGATACAAAAACGCAAAAAGTCAAAAAAGAATATGGAATAATATTTCCAAGTTTTTGACATTAAAGTAAAATATTCTACCAATTGTATTTTTTTTCTAAAGTTTACAGAATCATTTATGGAAAATATGTAAATTAACCTAAACAAAGTCAACGCATTATTAGTAAAAGGCGTTGCAAGCTCATATTTTATGCATTCAACAAAGACGTCTAGGTTGAGTCACAAACAGCCACTTGAACCTATAAGTAATGAGTCCCAAGATAAAAAGGTCTGTACAGATAAATTCCATGCGCGTGAGTTGCATAAAAATTAGCTGAGGAATTACAAACATGAAGGCAAATAGGAATTTGTGGTATTAAATGCAATAATTCATTCCTTCAAACGGGAACAACAAATGTACTGAACGATGTGTAAATAACCGCTGACGTTTTGGCTCAGCTTGAATAACAAAAGTTTTCCATTGCAAGTTGAAGAATAAATACTCTTCGTAGATAAGTTTAGTAAGCAAATTTTTAACATATTTTCAAAAAATTTATATTTTTTTTAAAAAGATTAAAACAAATTTGCTTGTTTTGCTTCTAGAGTACAGAAAAACCAAACAATTACTTAATCTTTGCATGTACATATTTCATTTCTATGTCAGTGAAGATTACTCTTTATTTAACTAAAACTCAAAAGTGCAATGTACGAACTTTGAGTATATATTGCTATATTTAGTTTAGTTGCTAAGAACATTTACAGTATTTACAATATTAAATAATTTAAATTCTAATAAACTTATTGCATTATAGGCTGCTATATATATTTCTGGCCTAATTGTCGCAGGTGACGAATTATGGATTTATGCGTATGAGCCCGAAACAAAACAACAATCGATCGTGTGGTTCTTCGAAGACGAGCCAAATCCAACGAAAGTTGTTCGTGGAAGAAGCACTTCGAAGCAAATGGTCGCCTGTTTCTTCGGCAAAACTGGTCATGTGGCGACTGTTCCGTTTGAACAACGAAGGACGGTCACTTCTGAGTGGTACACCACTTGCTTGCCTGAAGTCTTCGGAGAAATTCGAAAAACGAACGAGAGAAGACAAATTATTGTTCACTATGACAACGAAAACTCTCACACATCGGCTCAAACCAGCGCCTTTTTGTCCGGCTAAAATGTCAAATTAATGGATCATCCGCCATACAGCCCTGACTTGGCACCCAATGATTTCTTTTTATTCCCACACATCAAAAAAAAAAATGCGTGGTAAACGATTTTTGTCGACAGAAGATGCTGTTTTGGAGGTGTCCCAACCGAAGTGGAAAAAGTGCTTCGACAATTGGTTTGAGCGCATGCGAAAGCATATAAATTATTCTGGAGAATACTTTGTAAAACAATAAAACAACTTTTGATGATAAATATTCATTATTAGGCCAGAAATACATATAGCAGCCCTCGTATAATTTTCTCCATTGATATCAGTCACACAAAGTAATTATTAAATTTCAATAAAGAATATCTGTATATTTTACACAATAAAATATTTAGTTTTTCATGTCCTAACCTATATCTCTGGGTTTAATATTATTTTAATTTTTCTGATAAAAATCAACTGAACGATTATAGGTCAAACTCAAAATCAGTTATTAACAATATTTTTTTATCATACAGTATCTTAAAAAAGAATATTACCAGTTTAAGATCTAATTACTACGATTTTGCGACGGTTATAATTATGTCAGCTCCTTTTATAATATTTACACGTAGTTTGAAAATGTTATATCAAAGGTTTGTAGTACAGAGTTGGAGACATTAGTTCGAGGTATATACAGAGTATGTTTATTCAGGTTTAGCACAATGAAATAAATCAACTTAACTACAACAACAAAAACTTTTTATTATTTTTTTAATTAATTAAATTTTTGGCTGATCGCTGTTGCAAGTATTGTCAAATACCCATAATCAGTAATGTTTCTTGTATTTAATTATGCGTAAAATTTTTTTGAGAATCACAAGTACCAAGAGTTGAAGAGTTTTCGTGTATGTTCAAGCTTGGAGTATTGTTAATTTGCTTTACTTTCTGCGATTGTAAACCTATGGGTCTGCTCTATTAATATGCAACTCTGTGTATTCCCTAAGTTCAAGAGATTTCTGATAATCTCTAGAATTATAGTAATAATAATATTATATTGAATATAAATAACAGTAGAATATTACTAATAAAATATTCTAGAAGCAATTCTATTAAAGCAGTTTCCACAGGATTTTATTTTTAATTTATGCCATCATAAAATCAACGTTTCAAGACCCGAATATTAAACGAAGGTACTAAGTTCAATAATGTTAAGAGATTTGTTTTCTTCTATCAAATAGTTTCATTTTATTTAAGAAATAACTTAACTTTAAGAAATATTTTAATTTTAACAAATATTGCAACTGGTAATGCATTTTGATAGTTTATTTGCATTACCAAAGGATATCGTTGCGCCTCCACAAATGTTTCAATCGACAATAATCCACCTACACGCAGGTCTGCAGTGGAAAATCGGCGGTTAAAATTGATAAAAAATATTTTATTTGTTATTTGTTGTTTTGGTTTGTAAATAATTTGTTTAAAATTACATTTTTGTGTGAATTTCTATTTAACAAAAGCAAATCGCAAGGTGTGCGATCCGAAATATTGCCAATAACCACAAGGCAGTTATGAGCAACTTGCACGCCTGCACGCCTGCCGCTGCCACTTTTTGTAAATTATTTCATTGACAGTTGAGCAAAATTATCTCGAACCATTCCACCACGTCGATAGTGTCAAATGTTGGCTACTAGCCGAAAGTGGTTGTTACTCATTACACTTCATTTTTATTATTTTTGTTTTCTTTCTTAAAGAAACTTCATCGTTAATGTAAACACTTATAAGACCAGTTATTGACTCAATTGCCTAAAATGTTTAATGTGAAAATTCAAAAAAAAAAAGAAAAAACATTGTAGAAACGAAATTTAAAAAAAATTTGGTGCATTTTTGTAGTTCGCCAAAGCTGAGGTATAAACGCTCATGCCGCACTGAATCAGTTTTGCGCATATAAATTCTGCATTGGGGAGGACATTTTGTAAACGCCTTAAAAAAAATTAATGTTGGCATTAACCTGAGTTTCGGATTAAAATAACTACTTTCATGACCGTTATGCATCAAAGAGTTGCTTAGCTGAAATGCCTTTCACGCCCCCCTCTACATAATGAAGGGAGATTATTTTGCACAACTCTAATATTTATTTTACCAACAGGTGTGCAAAATATATATTGAAAATTTTATCTAATATAATACTATTTTAGTCAATAATAGTAATTTTATTAATCAATTTTTTAATGTATTATTAATAATATGAGAAAAATTCATATGTTAATTTGTAAATAATATTAAAAGTATTGAAACGTTCACCTTTGCTCTAATTCCATGGCACAGATAAAATATAATACATTAAATGTAGTAATTGCCAGATATAATTAAATGTTATGATCATGCTATCCTATGATGTAGTTACCTGTAATCTAATTAATATTTTTTATATATGACAAAATATTTATATTGAATAGAGAAGAGCAAACAAATATACTTGAAAACAACAGTAATAATGGTGAAGCGAATTTTTATAGCTGTAGTATATCCAATGGTTTCTTTAGCCAAATTAAGTCTGATGTTGGCGTATTGGGGCAAGATGCAAGTCCAGAAATGGAGTTTAATGTCTGACACTTCAAATCTGAAATATATACAAATAATTAAAAGCAATATAAAGATGAGATATGATACTATATGGTTACTATATGGTTGCAAGCCATGTAATTAGTAAATAAAGTAATTGTATATATAAAAAAATAAAAAGTTTTTGAATCTAAGTTAATATTTTCTATATTCAGAATAGAAACTATTTTATTTGATTTTTATTTTGAAATAACATATGTTATGATTTCATTATCTTTAATCTAAATCATATAATTTAGCCACTAAAAACTATTTGATGGCAATGATTCTATTAAAGTAAAGTTCCATTAAGTAAAGCGTGGGTCCATCTACACATTATTATTTTTCATTCTTCAGTAATTTTATTATCTACAGATTATTATTTTTCATTCTTCACCAATTTTATTAAAGTTCTTTCATTTTCATACACACAATATTAATACTTTCATGACATTTCATTTGTGAATACATTTAATCTTTGAAATATCTTATAAATGCATTAAAAGTGTAATGTATTTAAAGTATGATAAAGTGTTTAAGTGAGATTTAAAGCTTTGAAGTGATGGATAATTGACCAACGTCAAAGTGTAAGTGGCTTAATTTTGTGTACCCAAAATAACATAGCATTCAGTCGATATGAATTGTATCTATAATATTATTACTGAATTTAGGAAATGATTTTTCAGTGTTGATAACTATTATACGCATAATTTGTCTCCCCCAAATTTTTTTTAATTAATTAAATTTTTTTTAAATTGCTATACTTTTAGTTTTATTTGAAAACAGAAATATGAGTTATTAATCATTATGTTAATCACGAACAAAGTGTTACGAAAGGGCGTTAATATAACGAACTCAGTCAGACCTTACAGAACTTGACAAGAATTTTCAAACATTGAGACTATAAATTAATATCTTGTTACGGAATATGTACCTCATACAACACATCAGATTTACTTAGACATCTTTAAATATGACAAACCTCTAATGTATATATAATTTGACACTTCTGATATTTTAAATATATAAAAATATATAAATAGCCATTAGTCTAGTAAAATTTAAAATAACTTAATAAATTTCTCTTAACGTAGATTAAACAGGATTTAGAATTAAATTAATTAAATAAATTAAATTAATTAAATATTAAATATTTTCTCTGTGAAAGCCGTATTTTCTCTGCGAATGTGAATGTGAATGCCGTTCAGAAGAAATACGTTCTTAGGGAACTTTTTTTGACAGTTTATCAGATTGTATAGACGAAAGATTTATTAAATTATCTAAAATTGACAGGATGGATTTGGACTGTACATTCTATTCTAAAGTTTGTTGTGAGAAATGTAGTAGCAAAACGTCGAGGTTAATGGAAAGTTATCTGCTAGCCTGCTACTATAACCAACCAACACTGCGTTATAATCATTTGAGACTCAGAATTTTTGTTTTTGCAAATATAAAAATTAGCTGTCGACATTGTGGCTAGAGTAAGTAAATCGTAGATACTGAATCACAGTCCATATTAAAGATTTGAACAGTCTTAAAATAAAGCCATATTAGAGAAGGGTCATTTAAAATGGTTAGCTCACTTGAATATCCTGTTAACATCCTGTGGGGGAATTTATCACTATCGAAGTCTAAAATGTTTAAACATAATAATGGTGATATACAGTTAAGATAAATATAGCTTGAAAAATAAATTGGATGCACCGAAATCAGGAGGGATTGAAACCAGGAGGGACTGAAATCAGGAGGGACTGAAACCAGGAAGGACTAAAACAAGAAAGATATCAAAATGGATACAGACTATTTTAATTAATTATCAATAATCATAATAAAGTAAACACTCTTAGTTCTTTATTAATGCTATTAATTTGGTACAAAAAAAATAATTTAGAAATTAATTAAAAAATCATTAGGATCACTAGGATCATTTTGAATAGCTCTCTGTTTTGGCCTTGCCTATAAAGCTATACTGTATTATATGTATTATAAATACTATTTCAGTTGAAGCTTTAATCATAACTGTATAATACATTTCAATAACATATTCCGCGAAAATACGACAGGAAACACGCGATATGTAAGTCAAACAAGAAATAAAATAATCTTAAGATCTGCATAACTTATAATAAAATCAGCGAAAAAGAAACAGTTGTAAAATGTTGATAAACATTGTGGCTATGCGGACTGAAACAGCAGCAACATGTGAACAATTTTTAATTGCATGTGGTACTGACACGAAGACGTAGGCTGACTTAAGGAAGTACACCAAAAATATACACCAATAATTAAGTAGAAAGTAATTTTTATCAGTTTGTTATTATCAGAGCACCATTAGCGAGTACTATTTAAAAATCATTTAAATAATTTTATTATTCTTTCAGTTAGATTTGTGTTGTGCAAAAAGATTTGTGAAGTCACAACATAAAGATAGAAATTTACGTAGGATATGTAATAACAGTTAGTGATAGGTTAACACAGGTGATAGGTTAACATTTGAACTTGTTAAGTATATTATAATTGTCGGTAATATTTATTTGTTTGTCAAACTATATATTGTATATATGATAGTTAAGCATGTAAAGATATAAACTTACAACAGGCGTTCAATAACTATCAAGAATAATGACAGTTAGTGTGAAATTATTATGTATTGTGTTGAAAACCAAGTTCTATATTTACTCTGTCTTAGATCGCATTATTCCATACAACTCCTAAGCGCTGTCAAAATTTCAGTTAATTCGCTTGGTCCAAAAAAATCGTTTAGAACATTGATCAAATATTATAAATAAACATCGGGTTAAATAGCACAGAAAAGTGCAAAATTCTACAAAGTCAAACAAATGTCTTCGAAGCGACTGCTGTATGTCTTAACAGTTCATTTAGAAGGATTGGAGAGTTTAAAATTGCAAAGACATGTTAAAATTGTTTCAAAGGAATGTATTCAGTATGTCAGTCATAGCAGCTGATGCCTAAATGTTAGCTTTCAGGACAATGATTGTGGTTTTCTTCAACTTAAAAGGAGTTATTGACTGTGATTTAATCCGAGAATCTAAATCAGACTGTGTACTAATGTTTTATTATAAGAATATTTAAAGTTGTCGGTATTGTAAAAAATTCACGATTCATTTAGTTTGCTGTTGTAAACATAATGGTACTTATAGTAAAGTTGATATAAATGTGATCAACAGAACTACTCTAAGGTGAATATATTATTTATTACTAAATATATACGCATATTTTACTTTGGTAAATAGATATAGTTTAAAGTTTGACGCTAGTGCTTTGTTGTGAAAAATCTGCTGATAAAGATATAGCTTATGAAATTCAAGGAGCTTTTCAAAGAGACCCTACTTTAATTCTGCAAAATCACAAGAAAAATATTAATATTAAACTTATCTTCATATATTTTACTATATACGGATGTACTTATCGTGCTAACTAATGTAATTTAGCACTATTTACCATATTTTATTGGTTAAACCGCATAGTGAAGATAGGCTACTATTAGATGCTATTAAACATGAAATTGATTTCATTTAATTTTATTAAAGCTACAAATATCTTTCAAGTAATTTTTATTTTCTTGCTGAAAATGCTTTCGTGACATAAGTATTTACACTAAGAAGATACGCTTCAAGCAACAATTTATTATTAATATTATTTCTATTATTTTTTTATTATAACAAATAGAGTTTCAAACATTTTTCCGATATATTGCAAAATAAATAGAAGGCGTTGCCATCATTCAACGTTGGTGTTAGTTTAAAAAATCTAAATTTGCCAACAGTTAAATCATATTTTTTTAATGCATTTACTAAACTTTAATAAAGTTTATTGAAGAACGCAACAATATTTGTAAATTCAATGAGACAAACATCAAAAACTAATTTAATTCAATTCCCCTAAGCAATGGAAATTACAAAACTGTTTGATGGAAAAATGTTTCAAATATTATTAAATAAATTTTTTTTAGTTAAAAATAGTGTAAAGTTCAGATTAGTGATTTCAATAAATATTAACATTCAACTACGCATACAAGTATTTGTCACATGTGGAAAATAAATATTACTTTTAGAGTTCGATGACACAATTATTATGGACCTCTGTTTCATCATAAGCAATAGATGTGTATTATATGCAGAAACATTTGACGCAACCCGCGTTATGAAGTTTTCTTTGCATTACATATATGTGATCTAGTATCAACTCATGAGTATCTCAACTTGAGCGATTCAGTTTCACTTTTCTTTGCAGTTGCCCAACTTTGTTCTGCACGTTTATGCAAATTCATAGGGAAAGCGGTTATGTGCAACGTTACTTTTCGCAGATCTAATCTTTGTTTAAGAGCACCAAAAATTGCGTTGTTGATTTTTGATGATTTGAAATTTAAGTAACATGACTTGTAAAAATTTATTGCAATTGCTTACAATTTGTTGTAAAGTTTTAGTTAGTTAAATATTGCTTACAGGCTTTTCAATGAACTACAAAATATATTTTGTATTAAGTTTCAACTTTCTCTATTAGGGGACCTTTTAGGCCACTTTTAATATGCCAATAAAATTTGTTTTTAATTATTTATATATTTTGATGCACTTAATTATATGGAAGTGACTAAAAATGTTTTATAATTTATGTACTTTCAAAACACTTAGTTAAGAGGATAAAATATTCCTTTAATCTTTAGAAAGTGTATAAGATATTTGAAGCATAACATATCAATAATCAGACAATATTTACATTCTAAACTCACGTAAATTTTTGATATAAGGTTGTTCGAAAAGTAATCTTATTTTTTTTTTATGATAATAAAGGAGAATTTTCTTATAACAAATAAATATTTTTTTGAATTATATGTTGTTTATTCATCTATTTTACTCCTTGATTGCTTGTTTATGACATTGTTTTTTACTGCCCTTTTCTAGTTCCTAGTAGTGGATAGTTTTAAAATTGGATCATTTTCTTGATCATTGAAAAGCAAAGACAACAGCATTGTGCCATTAACGCGATGTTACAAGTTTCTTTCTTTAAGAACATACGCTTTGAGATTAATCCTAGGGGTTTTAAATGATCAATAACGATAAAATTCTATAAATAAAATATGTCAGTGATTTCACGTGATCGTAATTCATCAATCTCAACAGGCTTTCCAGAATATGATGTATTTCTGACATCTATAAATATTGAAATCCGAAAAAAAAAATACTAGTGGATAGAAAACCGCATGCTGATACACCGCACGCAGCGCGAATGTGGAACCTTCCATGAAACCCAGCCTAGAGGCAGGCCCACTACAACATGACAATAAACAGTAAAACTGGCAAATCGTTTAACGAGCTCAGACAACACTACAACATAACAATAAACAGTAAAACTGGTAAATCGTTTAACGAGCTCAGACAACTATGACAGAATAGAGATAGATGGAAATCATTCCTGACATCCTTAATCTCTTAATGGAGTATGAAATATAAAAATTTATGATTATGAGGCCATTATAAATGCATATATACGCATATATAAATTATAACTACTTTTTATATATTAATAGTTGCTATGATAAGAAAATATTAATTAAAAAATTTATATATTATACAATTATTAATTTTTATTGTTATATTAATATCTAAAAAATACTGCATAATATAATTTAATAACAGCTATGTTAATTTATTTTTAAAATATATAAGTTATATATATAGTTAATACTTCACATTAATTTTTGAAATTTATATTTACCATAGATATAGGTTTTTTGTGCTATCGGCTACTTTATTCTTATCACATTATTCAGATTTAATGTTCTTCTTCCATTTTTCTTAGTATTCCATTATCACTTATTTGTCCACTAATTGTTGAATAATGTAGTATTGAAACTGTTTTAGTTAAGTCAAGCTTAAAATGGGTAAGCTATTATTTTGTAAGTCGTTTATTTATCGACTATCAGATTAATTATAACCCAAATTAATCATTACAGTTCATCATAACTTTAGATGCCGGTTTAATTTTATATTGCGGTTGCTTTATTTTTCTCACACTATTGGTAGCATAAATGCTTGAAGTGGGCAAATCATTACTCTCCAACTCATTCCTCTGTCCAGTTTCTTCGACGATCATCTCTTCTATAAGATCATAGTCAACAGAGAATGAGGCAGGCAATGCGTACTCACTCAGAATCTGAAGAGCATTTCTTATTATATCACAATTATAAGATTTAAGTAGTATTATTCCTTGATATACGATGCCATCCATTTGTATATAGGCTACAACGTCTTTATATAAGTTTTCAGCTTGTCGAACAGTTTTATTGTATTTCATTATTTTATAATATACAGCACTTGTAGCATTAGTAAATTGTAAGAGCATCCAAGGATCTCGTGATAGATCAATTTTCGAAACTATTTCGGTATATATCAAGTTAAAGCAATTGTCTTTTAATTTTACTAGTTGCTTTTCTGCAATATATTTATTATTGTACTTTTGCAATAATTTAACTTTATATTCACTTTCGCCGTCTGTTACAAAAGGTTCAACAAATTCTCGTAGATCCAAAGAAGTTGTGGCATTAATGGATAACAAATCATCAGACAGCTCTTTTTTATTGTTTGTAATAAATTGCAATATATTGTTATCTTCCTTTGTATTCTTGTCTAATTTCCAAAACAAATCTTTGTGTTGTACAATTATATGTTTGACAGCATCTTCCTTTTGGTATTGAATTAGATAACACACATTGTTAATTGATTCCTTTTTATATTCTGTTATAGTCATATTCTTTTTCAAAGCTTCCAATTCAGTTTGCATATAACAATAATCATCAGAAGCTAGTAAAAGTGTTCCTTCCATGGATTTGCCATTGTACTTAAACTTAACAAGTCTATTTATATACATGGAACTGACATCTGAATTGTAGAGATCGACTGAATGTATCAGAAAATATCTGTTTTCATTGTTTGGTTTCGTTTTTTCATATTGTGTATCGACTATAAACCATGATAACCGGCAGACTTCTTTGCTATTCATTTTGACTTTATTAATTTTTCGCGGTCCTTATTACTTCAGAATTTTTGTAGAACTGATCTCATACAGAGTAAAACGCGCTTTTATATATTTCTGAAATCTGTTCCTTTAATAATAAATTCCGTTTCCCAAAATACATTTAGTGATATAATTTGCAACAAACAACATTCCGGTACCTGTAAATGCGTTAATTTTATCATTAGAAAAATAGTTTTTCTTCTTAGAATTAATAGAGAATTGTGATGGGTTGATTCCAAAATCAATTTATTTAAGTTATTTTACAGCGAGGAAGAAGGGCTTCTAGCAAAATAATAACTTAAAATTTTACAGAAAGGTTGGCCATTGTTTGAAAATTTAACATAAAGATATAGGTTACAATTTTGGTAATGGTCATAGTAACTGCATTCTGTATTTATCATTTCTATACCTAAACCAAATGTCGCGGCTTGTGTATGTGAAATAAATTTACAAACTTTCCAAATTACATTGGGTATTTTGGCATCCTCCAAATATCCCACAAAAATTTACCCACAAACCATTTTCGTACCTGTAGCGAATACTGTCCTTATTTACTGACACGCATATGAATAATCCGGGGATTTCTAAATACCTTAGAAAATTCCTCGTATGTATAATTTATTAAATTTAAATGACACAATTCAGCTGCCGACGTATCTGATATGTAAATTTTAGCGAAATTAATATTTGACTAGTAAATTTACAGATTTTAGGGCTGTAAGAAGGATAACTTTTTAGTTGCTGCAGTTATATGATATAGTTAATCAAAATAGTTATTTAGTAAATATCGGTTTTTATTTATATGTAATCAATATTAATTTATAAATAAATATACCAGTCATAATATTCATAATCAGAAGCCTTTTTTAGACATGAGGAATGTTGTATAATATATGGAATGAATTATTAAAAATGTAGCTATGGAAGTTGATGAACTATTTTTACCAAAAAATTACATTTTTTTCAGTAATGTTATAAAACTTCAGAGTATTATATATGATCTCAATTGTCTGCTAATTATTTTCGATCGAAGTCCCATTCGACGAATTCTTGCAGTCACACACAGCTTGTGTTGATTTCAATTATTCCATTTTAAGCTGTGCTAATTGGTAGAGAGCATATTGTTATTAAATTAAATTAAATTATTAAATTAAATTATAAAGAGGCTTTCGAACAGAAATGAAACAACAACAAAAATTTATTTTTTTAAATTATTTTAATTAATTGAATTTTTGGCTGACCATACAGCTGTTTCGAGTATTGCCAAATACCCTTCATCAGTGGTCTTGGAAATAATTCTTATATTTAATTATTCGTAAATAATTATTTTTGAGAATGCAAGTACCAGGAATCGAACTCGGGTCCTGCCAAATATGAAGCTCAGAATCAGCGCACCTTAACCAACTGATCCAAAGACTTTTTATGTTCGCATATTTTTGCTGGAGTTTTGTTACTTTTGCTATGAAATTAAATTATTAAATTATTTCAATCATTTTAATCACATAAATATTACTTTAAGAAAGTGTTAGTTGTCAGTCCAACCCTATACAAATGAAATCAACTTTTAGTAGTGCTGCCAACTGCTGGTAGTTGTTGAAGTTGCAAATTTTGGCATAAGTTCGCATGTCCAAAATATTCATGGTACTGAATTTTGATTGAATTTTCTAAAATTTTTTTTTTGTGTGACAATTCTTTAAATATAAAATTTGTGGCTGTTATTCACCTGGGATATTTGGTTTTCATAAGTAAACCAAATATCTGTAATTCACTTCAGTTGTTGTTAAATTTCGTTTTACTTATGTCAAAACCAAAATTCCAGGCGAATAACAGCCAGAAACTTAAAGGCAAGTTTCTAAGTCCATCTTAGTTTCTGATTTAGAAAAAAGAATACACAGTTTTGTTTGCAATTGTGTTAACAAATACCTCTCTTATCATGTACAAATCTTTTCTTCTTCAACAAATGTGAGCAAAATACTCGCGCTCATTCAAAATATTTAAACGATCTTCTGGGGTTAAAAGTTAAGTAAAAAGTCTACTAAAATCAGCAGAAAATTGTAAACTTTTTGCTTAAATGCTAAACAATTTTTTATGTATTGAATATGAATTCTATAAGTGAAATACCTTCAGATAGTCGCAATTTGTTAGTTCAAGTCAAAGATACTTTCTTACTTTGTAATACTGAATTGTCAATGAAAATGTTAACATGCAAATGCGGGCAATAGCCAAACAATGTCTTCACAAGATGCATACGTGCACTTTGCGTAGGTTAAATTTGTAACAAGATACAGAGTCATGAAGTAACATTTTATATGATTTTCCATATAAAATGATTTTTATGTGAATTTTTGGATACATGTTTTTGCATAAAGAAAATAAATATTTTCACTTTTACACAATTTGTAAGTGTAACCTTTTATTGACCAAAAATGTACACTACAAATTCACGAGATGTGACCAAATACTTTTCAGTAAATTATTTATTTAATTTGATTTTCAATATAAAATTATTATTATAATACTTTAATAATGATGTATCAATAAATCAAAATATCAATTGGTACATATTTATAAACTTTTAGTTTTAAGTTATATGCAAAAACTAGTGATATTATATTTTTTTTTTAACATTTAATATGTATTATTAATAATATATTATTTATAATTTGTTTTATGAAAGCACTTACACATAAGTACTATAACTTTTTTTGAAAGAAAAAGGGTTTAATTATTAAAATTTATTTTAAAAAGTATATTCAACTAAAGAAAATTATATTTTTTTTATTATAGGTATATTATAAAACAAACAAAATGTTCAGATATTAATATGTATCTATTCATTCAATTTTAATAAATTTAATTTTTGTTTAATAAAGGATATACCAATTGTCATTGTTGCTAAACATTTATTTGATATTCAACTCAAATAATTTATATTTATATATTTATATTTGCTCAAGCTCAATAAAAAACCGGATATAAATCAATAAATGTATAAACATATCCAAATATAACATAATACCTACTAATTTTTCCGAAAATTATTAGCTCATTAGATTATTTATATATATCATTGCAAACTATTTAATCTTCTTTAAGCTATCTTTGATCTATTTTCATGTCGTGATTTTGTTGCATTAACATTCTGGATCAGATTTCTATGATACCAGATACTATGTTTCGGATTTCATGTATTTTCTGAAGTTATTCTCAATATATCTAAATTCCGAATGCCAAATGCTGCAAAGTATAATAATACAAATTTGATTTGACTATTTATAGTCTGTCATTGTAGAAAAATTTAAAAAATCGATTATGATTTAAAAGCATTGGATAAAAGAGGATTTGAGGGATGATTTAAAACCATTGGATAAGAGTGGATTTGATATTGTTTGTAGTGTGATAAGTTTTGGATCGACATAACAGTATCGGTTTGGGAAATACAGTACAATCATGAAAGAGCAGCTAGATCACATTAAGTCTTTGGAATTCTGTTGTTTATATTCATCCTTGTGCTCTCAAAGGATGTAGAAAAACAGAATGTGGAGTAGAAGCTGAACAATTGTTTTCAATAAACGAGAAAGTTTTGTTTTCATATTCTTGGTAATTTTAGGAAAGGGGTTGAGTATTAAATATCTCTCTAGGAATATTGATGTGCAGGCATTTATTTGACTAAAAAGGCTAGGGGAACAAGTGTTTGATACTAATGAACATGATCTATAGGAGTTGTGCAGTAAGGACTGATATTATTATATATTAAAATCTTCAATTTTGTCTCTCTGAATGAATTTAGGTAGATGTTTTAGCTTTAGAATATGTAAGTGATATTGAATTTTATATGATTGTTGTGGTTAGATTTGATAAATATCTGTTGGCTAGTCTGTTGGTTGTTGACTTAAGAGAACACTAGAGATAAGATAAAAAACTAATTTGATTGCATAAAAATTATTTGAAGCGATGCTGGCAAATGAAAGATTAACTCGGTATTACAATTAATATTCATTATAATATTAATAGTAAACTCGATGAATTGGATAATAGACTTAAAAATATGAGACCATGGTGAATGTTGTCAAAAATCTGGGTAAGTTAAAAAAGCAGCAATTATATTATAAAAGTAAAATAATAAGAAACAGACGTTTTAATGAACTTACAAAAAAACAAAAAAAAACAATTTCATGAGTTTAATACTGAAGTAATAAGTCTTCATATTTTGTTTTCTTGCTGTATTTGATATGATATAAATTCAAACTTTTAAGATTAAACTAACAAAATACATATATAAATTAAATATCTTCTACTTTTACAAAACTATTGCAAATTATAGCTAATGTACATTAAAACTCATATAATTTATTTATAATATGCAATAATTTTGTGATATAACGTCATGTCCATTCCATTGACAGTTAGTTTCTAGATTCGGGTTTGCTTATATGTGTTTGCATATAATTTTCAAATATGAATCGTGAAAAAATTTTAAAAAATTTAATTATTTCTTTTAAAATTTGTACATTAGTAAGAAATAATAATAAAAATGGCATAAATTTCAATTAAAGCATTAAAATTACTTTATTTATGGTGCACACGGTTATGTGCAGACGAAATATGTTGCGAAATGTTTCGGCAACATAATGAGTCTGCAACAAATAGTGAAAATTCGATATGAGATTTAGTTTTTGAAGTCCGCAAACGAACTCGTTAAGCTAATGAAGAGGCTGCTACCATTGCATAAGTCAGCGACGCTTTTTAAGGAGTTTCTTTCACTTTTCCAAATACAAATAATTTTTTATATATTAAAAATGTATAGACCAAACACTGACATATATTTTTCATTCACTAATGTATAGTAATGAATTGTAAATATTTACATTCATAATAATTATTAGAGTTTATTCATAAGCGGAAACGAATTTTGAAATAATTTGAAAATATTTTTAAAACAATTTCAAAATAAAATTATTTTCTTTTTTTTGAAAATGCATACATACAAGTTATGAATAAAATATTTGAAGACAAAAATATTATTTTAAAAGTCAGGAAAAATAGAGGCTGCACTACACTTTCATTTATAGTTTTTGTGATAGTGACTACGTTTTTACT